ATTGTCGAACCGCCTCTCTGCGACGATATTTGACAAAATTCAGCAAGCTGTGATGCATGACATAATCAACATATTTTTATGATCTTTACATCACCGTAAATCTCCAATTAAGCTCATTTTTCAGTATAATCTGAATATTTTGCGCTAAATATATAATGCGCAACATGTGCCTGAAAAATGAATATATGGAAAGCTAGCATGTTTGGAGTCAATTTTCTAAACAAAACCACCTATTATTTATTTTATGTTTTATTCACAGTTAGGTAATATAGTAGTCTCTCAGGAACTACCAACAGAAATTGTAATATATTGTTTGTATAGCCGCTATTACGAATCGAATCTCGTGCTATGAGCGTTTTGAATGAGACTTCACACAGGCGCTCTGCTGAGCAAAAGTTTTGCCTATGTAAGGTTTTCTATTTATCGTTCGCAGTTACCTCAATATCCAACCATAAACATTATTGAAATTTGGAGTAGTGCACTTAAAAAAAGCTACTTAGAAGTCCGTATCCACAAGTGCGGGCACAGCGCTTACTTCCTCTAAATACGGGGGAATGCAGATCGTTAGAGAATTCCTCTGGGGCCTTTTAATTTCGGCTTTGAGTTTGAAATACCGAACTTGATTAGTAATTGTCAAATCTTCTTATGTCAAACAGATATGCAGTGCATATACATATGTACGATTTAGTATCTGACGCTTAGGAAGTACGGTCTATTTTGTGCACATACGGGCTCTTTCGTAAAATAACGAGCATTTCGTAGCGTGTAAGGCTTCAAATGTGTTAGTCATGTGTGTAGGTTTCATTTCTATTTTCAGTGATTCACACCAGGTTACTTAGACTTTTTCTCTTGACTTAAGCTTGTCCGGAGTCTAGTTGTTACATATCTTCTCCGTCAATACATTTTTTAACATTTTATCCTACTAGAATTTGTGAATCATCGCCATTGTGTAGTATGCAGTCTGCCTATAATATTATATGCGATTGTAACGTTGACATTTTTCTTGATTTTGTTATTTTCAAGTCGGCCTTGAAAAAGTGTATTTTATCCAACCAAGAGTTAGTGTAAGCTTGTATTGGCTCTGCAAACTTGTATTTGTGTCCTTACAAATGTCTCTGTAATTTTGTGCATGTTTGTATTTTAAATAGTGTTGCTGTAAACACGAAATGACAGTGCACCACACAAAAGCCGTTACAGCTGTCTGTGGGCACTAAAGAAAAATAAAACATGATTATTATTATTATTATTATTATTGTTATTATTATTATTATCATTATTATTATTATAGGGTGAAGCTCACACACCTTGCAAATCACCCCGATGCCAAGTAAATAAATATTGTTAGGATAAATAGTGTTGCTTTACTGGCTTTTCCCCGCTCATATATTGAGGTAAGTACTAACATTAAATAGAAAACCTTACATAGGTCAACATTCTGCTCAGCTGAGCGTCTATACGAAGTCCCGTTCAAAACTCTCATAGCACGAGATTCAAGTCGTAATAGCGGCCATACAAACAATATATTACAATTTCTGTTGGCAGTTCCTAACAGACTACTATATTACCTAACTGTGAATAAACAAATGAAAGAAATAAAAGGTGGGCTTTTCTAAATATTCGTTTTTCAAGCAAATCTTCTGCGTGATATGTTTAAAGCAATATATTCAAAAATTATACAAAAAAAGAGCTCAATTGGAGCTTTACGGTGATGTAAAGATCATAGAAATCAATTGATTAGGTCACACAGCACAGCTTGCTGAACTTCGTCAAATATTGTTGCAGAGAGGCGGTTTGACAAAACAAAACAAAACAAAAAAACGCATTAAGGATATTATGACCTAGTCGCTTTATTGGCATAACTCGCCGTTCGCATCTTCTTTTATTCAAGAAATTTACAGGCAACTATTTAAAATTTCAGAGGCGTTAATTATAAGTTGGTGTATTTTTGTGAGTCACGTGTATTACTGTGCGACAAGTGAACAAAAACCAAAATGTAGGCTTTTATAGCCGCCATACAAACAAAATATTACGTTTTCTGTTTATTTTACTTTATAAATCACTGCAATAGGTAGCTAGAGAAAAATAATAAGCCAAACAAAGGTATAGCTTTTTAGAAAATCGACCTTCAATTCGCAAACGTTTTTGAAATAGTTCTTGCTTTACGAAAAAATACTGCCCTTTCTCTTTTACACACAACGTCAAATTTGTTCTCATTAGAATTAGTCTACTCTAAGCTTTCTGAAAATACTAAATATGTTAAGACACCTCATATAGGTCACACGGAAGAGCTGGTAAACTTTGACAAATATCATCCAAAAACGTCATTTTGGCAAATTTTTTTCAAATATATTCCATATAATTAATCGCTGTAAAGTTATTTATCAGAAAATAAGTGTGGTCACAGCTATCTGTTAAAAAAAATAAGAGGCGCCAATTTTGAATTAGTGTATTTTTGCGAGTAAGTTGATTTACTGACAAAACAGTCAAACAAATCGGACTTCAAGTTTTTATAGCTGCCATACAAACACGATATTACATTTTCTATTTATGTTAACTTATAAAGCACTGCAATAGCTACCTAGAGAAAAAAAAATCAGCCAAATAAAATGTAGTTTGATTTAGAAAATCGACCTCCAATTTGCAAAACTTTTGAAATAGTCCTTGCTTTACGAGAGTACACTGCCCTTTCTCTCTTACACGCAACATTAAATTTGTTATCAATAGAAAGGGTATACGCTTAGCTTTCTGAAAATACTAAATATGTTACGATATCTCAAATAGGTCACTCGGAAGAGCTGGTCAATCTTCGAAAAATAATGTCAAAGGGACACACTTTGACTATATTTGAAACAAAAGTGAATATAAATAATCACAATAAAAATGTTCACCATAAATAATCTCTATTCTAAGAGTGGCCGAAAAAAGTTACATTACACTACCAAAAAAAAAAGCAAAAAGTAGAAAGGAGCGAAACATGACACCTCCGAGAGGCGAGAGAAAGGTGAGTTTGCGCCTCGACTGCTTAAAATGTCCCTAACTCGAGAACGAAAAATCGCACAAACTTGTTGTTTGCACTCCCTGTCACAGAAGGGTTTTTCCCAAAACACATCTTTTTTCGCCAAAATTAAACATTCGACCCCTTATCCGTGCCTGAGTTGAGATGAAACCACCCATATATATATTTTGGTGTACTTTACTGCAGAACCCAGAGACAGACAATATAGGTGAACAGTAGAAGTATAAATGACGAATTGCATTAGATCTGAAAAATGCGACGTGTGCCGGGACATTTTGCATGGTGTTTCACTAGGTGCTTGTCTCTGCGCACACGGCATTTTTTTAGTCTGATCGTATTCTGAGCTTCACCTTCGCAATCGTCCGTTGTAACTCAAGAAGGTAGAGCGAGGGAAAGGAAGGCCGGGGAGGAGGAAGCAGAAGAAACCATGTAGAAGAGAGGGGAAACCTCCTCCTCTCTCCAGCGTTCCGTCTGCTTCCTCCTTTCCGCCCTTCCTTTCCCTAGCCCTACATTCTTGAGTTGCAACGGACTGTAGTGTTCTAGTGTTGGCCGTGATTCCTTGTCTCGCGTTCTGCAAGGAAGTCAACTCGCCGGCCTTAATTTTTAGAGTAAACACGCGGGGGTTGAGGTCATGTGATAAAGGGAAGGCCGTTGATTGGTTCTGCGAGCGTGTAGCGTTAAGGTTGAACGGAGCATATAGAAACCGGAGATTCACTACGCTACTTTGCCCCTTCAGGACCTGAGGGAGCTCTCCCATTCTGCGGAAAAAGAGCGAACAGTGCGATGAACAGCTTTTCAAATTTAAGGTTTGCAGCGTCAAATTACGAAGACCGAGCATTATGTGACGAGAATCGCACTCCTTCCATCGTATCTGAAACAGAGCAGTGCTTGTTATTCTCAATAGCTTGCGAAAGCATTGGACTTGCATGGGAGCTCTCTGTTTATCGGCCATACATAACGTAAGTTTCAGTGGAGCTTTTATCAGTATAAACGTGTTACTTTGTTTACATTAAATTTAAATTGCCGAATCGAAAAAGTGTGACACTTTTATAAGCATAAGTAAACAAACATCGTTTTTTTAAACTCAAACACTGTCATATTTACTGCTAGCGTGGTGTATACAGTGCTTATTGGAGTAATAAAATTGAGCCGTAAGTCTCGGTGCTCTCTAATGCCCGAAGGAAAATGTGAAAACGTGAAGATGTCGTCTTCACGCTTACTCTGTCGCGCTATGAAGACCAACTAAGGTTACATTTCTCGATAACTGCAAGGTTCATAATAGGAAGTAGAAGAGCAAAATACCGAGGTGAGACAAAACCGGGAGACACGCAGAAGAGAAAAAGAAAGGTTCAAACAGGGTGTAAGATAAACAGGTGGGGAAACGAGAGCCAAATGAGCGGCCGGATTGTGTCCCCCTCGGTTTTCCCTTTTTCTGTGGCGCCATCTATGTGGAGCACCGCGAACTCTCACTCCGGGTGGGCGACCGGTGGCGACCGGCTAAGCTGACGGAGATGATTTCTCGTGGATTTTCAATGGAGGACTGTCGTGCTCTCGGTTTAGTTTGCGCACTCTCCCATAGAGTTCCACGCAAATCCAATTCCGATTTTTTTATTCTCGCCGCTGCGCCATCTGTCGCACATCGGGGGTACCCGCAAGCAGACGAGTACGCAATCCGGTCACGACGCTGCGGTACGCTTCTATGGGCCGTTTCCCCACCTGTCTATCTCACACCCTGGGTTCAAACGTTCTGTCTAACAATTAACAGAAATTAAAGACAAAAACAAGCGCTTCTTTTTCTTTCGTTCTGGTTTCTTTTTTTTTTTTTTTTTCAAAATGTCTGAGAGTAGGTAGTTTCCATAACCCCTGGCGTCGCTTTTATGTTTTTCGCTATATTTTTTTGTTGCAAATGACACTTTGCGCGTGAAAAGCCTCAACTTCATCAATATGAAGCTTTTCTTGTTGTTGTTGTTGTTGTTGTTTTCAGATATTCTACACGATATTGGTGACGGCCGGAATATGCCACGTGAACACGGTGCTTCATTCTCAGGGTGAGTGTGAGTAAGTTGAGATGTTTTGTGTTTGTCTCTTTTTTCGTCCGTCGTCTCCAGTGTTTTTTCAAAAATGTGACATAAACCAGCTCGCCTGTCTGCTCACTCTACCTTCATAACATAATTAACTCATAAATATACGCGTTTGCTAATACAACCTCTGGGCGTCGCTCACTTGCTGCTGTTGTGCGTAGATCGTCTGATAGCCAAGCTTTGCTAAAGTGTGCCCACTCTCGTTCGAGTACGTTGAGACCGACACAAGCAGCTTTTAGGCCGATTACGACCGCCATTCCTGCTGCATGCGCTGCCTGTCGTAAGCACTCACAAGAGGCTTAAAAACAGGTTGTGTCGGCGTCGGTAGGAAGTGTGTGGATCAGCCTTAATTTACATGAGATAGGGGATAGCGCGCGACACGGAGAGGAAACGTAAACAGGGAGTTAAACATATCTTAAAACGTTTAACTAATTAGTCCACCAGATGATCCTGATGCATTATATGAGGGGGGACAGGAAAAAAAACTTTGAATACAAAGGTACATAAAATTTAGACAGGTTTTACAAAGCCTTAAAAAAAGCAGAAGGAAAGCAATAGCCACGAACGCTTCAGTGTGTAAAGATAAAATGAGTAGAATAATTCCTCGTCCATCCTCTCGGACTCTCTTCCTTAAAGACATATTTAGAGGAAACACGAAGTACTGCTTGTCGTAGGCTGCAAAGAAAGAGGTCCATAGGTGAGGTTCGAACTTCCACGGGCGCGCGAAAAGGGTTTCGAACCGAAGAGCACTCCGTCGTTCAAAGCCTTCACAGTAAACCCAGGCCATGCCGTTTTTCTTTGAAAGGTTGGACGCTGCGCCGTTCGATTCCAAGCAGTATTTCCGCACCTATCGCTTTAAGGTCTCGTCGTACAGAGAAGTAAACTTTAGCTGATTTTATCTGTGCCCCGGAAAGATGCAAGCTCACTGCCAATAGTAAAATCCCGATGTATTCAGGGCAGAAATCAGTTCAGCAAGTTATGTTTGTATTCGTAAATATTGGGAAACAAACAAACAAAATATTTAATTTTTGTTCTTTCGTTTAAAAAAGAAAAAAAGAAAAAATGCGTGGTAATGAGTTCAACTTTTATTTTCCTTTTTTATAAATGTATATAATGCAATATAATAACTATCACGCAAGCATTAACTTATCCTTAGTGTTTGTGTAAGAAATGCCTTGGTGTAATAAGCGCATATGATCATATAAAATTATATAAGAACATATGAGAACCCTATAGCAACGTGTAATAAAATATAAGCAGCGTTTAAGAAGTTTCTCATAATTTATATAACCTTATATTGTGCTTATACGGTTGTCCTATCTGCTTACATTATCTTATTTGTTCACATGCGCTTAATGAACCAAGAAATGTCTTATATAAATACGATTTTTTACTATAGTAGAGACTCACAGGGATATTGCCGCCCGCAGAGCCGAGAAGGCAACGCTTGGTCACGGTCTTCTAGAAGATTCCCGGTCATTCTCGCAGCAGACGTAACTTTCCCTTTGCTTTGCTATTCTCGAAAGTGCCAGTTCATCCTCGCCCCGAGCGAGCGACGCTCTAACTTTCTTTGCCGAACTTTCGAGATTGTGACGTATGGTAGATAAGCAGCTGCCCGCGACCTTGTCGAGTCAGTCTCAGCCTCGCTAGCGCTCTGTAGTGCCGCCGAATCGCCGCCCGCTGTTCTGCTGCCTCGACGCTCTTCCGTTACTTATTTTTGTTAGGCACAAGTTCGCCAATTAAACCTTTATTTTTCAGTTCACTCTTCGTCTTCACGTCGCCTTAATTTGTGACAATATAAATCGTATTCGAGTTGAGATTTAGCTCTTCTAAAACTGTGCCTGTTGCATTATTTTTTTTAGAGCGCAGCTCTTATGCGCCTGTTTCCGGCTTGAGCGGCGTCGCCGTCGCCGTCGTCGTCAGCGTAACCGTGCGGTGCAGTGTGTGGCGTTTCCCTTGATGACGTCACTCGTGACGTCACGTGTGACGTCACGAGGGTCGCAAGTTACGTCATAGATGACGTCACCGCGCGCTGCATTATGGATAAATTTTTCCGATAAATTCAGCGGGAAATTTCTCTCACTAAATTTAACGGGAAAATGTTTCCCCGAATGGGAGGCGAGTAGGAGAGGAGGAGGGGAGGGTACGGATGAGGAGGAGGGGCACACCCTCCTCTCCGTACCTTACGCTCCTCCTCCTCAAGAGCTGCGCTCTAATTCGGCGTTACAGGGGATTCTAAACTTGTCTCATTTTTTTTTATTTTCTAACTTAAAAATGCATAGTTCAATGAAAAAAAAAAAGAGAAAATGTCTACCCAATAACGACCGGCGGAACGCGCCAAAGCTAAATTAACAATAAAAACTACAGAACCACCGTTTTCACTTCGTTCGTCATCTGGGGCGCATGCCCAAATGCAACGCACTATAAAAAACGCACTTCAGAGAAGAAAAAAAAGCAATGTCATCATGTTCAAACATTATGTGCGTGTGGCCGGAACACTAAACATCATTCACACGTGCTAAAACAAGATATGTGGTCAGAGAAGGAGAAAAGCTTCCCTCGCCAGAAGCACCGTATTCCACCAAAAACCTTGCAAAAACAGTGACACACACACAAAAAAGAAAAATACGTATTTTTTTCACAGGTTCATTCATGCTCGACATATTCACGCCACGTTCTCGCTCGCGTTTTTTTTTTTTTTTTTTTTTTTACTTTGTGCGTTTTCTACGGGCAAACCGGTGTGGTAGTTTTTTTACGGCGCGTAGTTCTCGTTTATCTTACCGTGCGTCACTAACTCGAGAGTTAATTAGTGATGAGCAGTCGGCGTGCATAAGCTAATTTGAACACGCCTTGGTGCACGCGCCGCACCTCTCGGAATTCTGACGACTCGTAGGAATGTATTGGCCTACACAACTTCCAGCACGCCAGCTGGTGTACGTAGTTCTTCTTACTCGGCTGCTTTCGGCCGCCTATACGTCTTACGCTACCGCGGCGTGGCACCTCTCTACAGTGTTCACCCATCCGAATACTCTTTCGAATGGAACTTTTTACGAGTTCTCGCGTTCTACTCGCTCAGGGTCGGATCACGTGGCGTCACTTGAGAAGCTAACGATGCAAATGGGGCGACGGGGCTTTCTTTCTTCGAAGCTCGCTACTCCCATTAGCGTTAAAAAGAGCGGTGAATAGCACTAATGTGGCCAAAAGAAAAGAAAAAAGTTGGAAGGTAAAGTTATACTTTTTACGCGTGGGTGGAGTCGTGCCGGGGGTGCTCTGCTTTATGTCTACACCCACCGAGAGATGAGAACGGCGGGGCGTCTTTTTCGGATGACCGACTTCCGGCACTCGCTCGTTGCTTTCCGCCGTGCTTCGGTTGCGCTTGTACGCTCGAGACTCGCGAGACGTAAAAGCCTTACAAGAGGGAAGCCGGTGCTAGAGGAGAGACAACTGAAGCAACTCCCTGTCGGTTTAATCCTCTCGGTGACTGCAGACCAAACCAAGGTGATCGCCGTCACCACCGTGACATAGATTGCAGTATTCTGTACCATTTTTACTGTATACAGGACTGTCGACAGTCCTGTATACAGTAAAAATGGTACAGTATACTGCCATCTAAAAACGCATTACGCCGATGATTCGACCAAGATGTTGTTAGCAATTCCTGAGGAAGCAATATATGATGTGTTTTATTTCTCTCCCTTCTACCGGGGCGCGTGACACCATGGTTATACCCTCTTGCAACATGAGATCAGCCATAGCCTCCTCTATACTCAGAAAGCCTGGCAGTTCCACGACGGAGCCATAGAGTGCCCGGTCCCAGACTTGGAGCACGAGAATCTGGTAGCAAAGAACATCAAAGTGCCATTTCTCGGGGAACCTGGACGTCAGCGAACAGCTTTTGCAGCGGCGAGGACCCGAAACACACTTGTTCGCTCGGGAGAAGCGTGTTTCGGCGTCTCGCCGCAGCGGGGCACCAGTCACGTGGCTCTCCTCCCATCCGTTGTCTGCCGTTCCACGTCTTTCGTTTCGGCGGCCGCTTCTCGTGGTGGTCTGCCAGGCTTTGTCAGTATAGAGGAGGCTATGGATCAGCCGTACAGATGCAGAGCCGTGTATACAGAGAGTTTGGTCCATGGGAGGCGCGGCCAGAGCCAGGGCGTGCGTCAGACTCTGAAAGAGGGCTTGGCATGCTCTCTTGACCAACCAGAAGCCGAAAAGTATCCCCTAGCGGTGGTAGCGACAAACAACTCTGAAAAAAGGTATATGTTCGTATATGGTTTTAATAAGCGCGTACAATTGAAGTGCAGTGACTCTTCGTAGTTGAAAATAAGGTGCACCTCTTGTTTTCATCATGATCATGCAGATAGATGTAAGAAACGATTGCGCCGCTCAATTCTGTTTTGCTCGGATAGAGTGTGACCGCTCGGATGGCAGATTCCCGGCCCTCGGCGCTTGGCGTACGGACTATGTCGATCGTTCCGCTGGTCGCACTCTTCCACCATCATTTTGGATGACCGTGATTGAAACATCACGTGTACCATATTTTCAGTCATCGAGAGTTACTCCGATGCAGTTATCAGGTTTGTTTCTTGCGACCACCGCCAGGGTATTACTTCCGGCTTCTGGTTGGTCAAACTCGAATTTCTGAAGACGCTCTGGACCAGGCCCAGCCCGCTTTCGGCCAATGGCGCCTCCTCATTCGCCTCCTATACTTCCCAACGAATGGCCATACACTCTACATATACGGCTCTGCACAAATGCTTTGCCTCCAGCTCGCGCTCCTCGCCTTTCGGCGTTTTTTGTCTACGCATACGCGGAAGTGGTACGGAGGCTAGCAAGTTCCCGCATGAGGCGGAGCAACTACCGCTGATTTTAAGTTGCGACAGACTGTACGGCGAGCGAAGGTTTTCAAAATGCGTCTTCCAATCATCGAAACGGCAAGGAGGGGGGCACACCAAACAAAGGGCAGAATAGAGAAAGCGCGAGCGCGAACCCGTGATGACGATCATGCGGCCAAGTGCGTGCCGCAATCATTGATCGAGGTCGAGGGGAAAGCACGTGTGCGCCTTTTGAGGGGGTAAACAAGCGGACCAGGTACGCAAAAAGCAGACGAACTTTCAGGCCGTATCATACCCGTGGAACCTATTGCTATAGACGCTTTGCACACGCGCCAGATTACAGCCGCCATTGCTGACCTTCTCTTGTCTTACCGAGATGCCGAGCCAGTGAAGCGGACGTTGAAGAAACGCCACAGAGACCAATGCTGGGCAGAAGGACATAGTAGAATTTAAAACGGCAATAGCCTGCCCTGCTCTGATCATGATAAAGTGGAGTAAACGTTATAGGAGGAAACAAAAATTAAAGGTCGGTTATGTAGGCGCCCACGCACAGCTGCTGCAAAGCGCCTATATTACCCAAGCATCAAGGAGAATGCAGGGATTGGTGCTCCACGTGCCGCACGTGCTGACCTCGGCAGTCGTAACTTTTCTAAAGCAAATGCCTAAAACAAATTGCATCTTGCATGCGCGTTCGTCAAGGCTTTATTTTGGTTATTTAGTTCGAATCTTTTATACGAGGAAGGCGTGCGCGTGTGGCGGGTGAAACACCGATTCCCGCATTCTCTTTCATGCTTGGGTAATAGAGAGTTTTAGTAGATCGTTTTTTCATCCCGATAATGATACCATGCATGCCCAAGGCGGCCGGAAGGGAGAGGAGGTATCGTTATCGGGGTGAAAAAACGATCTGCTAAAACTCTCTACTATATAGCAAATGGTCTATTGTGTCAAATGCAAAACCGTTTCGAGAGTTTCGGGTTTCGGTTTCAGTCCGCTTCACCATGAGCCTGTTTCTGCTGACCTTCTCTGGACTCTGCGTCGTCGCGTCCATCGTCTTGCTCCTAGGCCTGTTTTTTGTAAGTGCAACGCCCTCTAGTTTTTTCTTAACCACGACTCTCTCACCAAGACCCCCCCCCCTCCCCCTTTTTTCCCCTTCTTCGTTGGAGGTTTCACCTTTCTAGGAGTGACAGCACATGCTTCAAGGGTGTACGATCACCTTTTCTAAGGGGCAATAACAGTCAACCAGCTTCCGTCGACCATTTTGTTAGTCCCTTCAGGCAGTAAGCCGCTTTCTGGGGCTAACAAGTCTTCAGATTCAACAAGAAGTAGACGTTTTCACAAAAGTCAAAGAGTATCGCTTTCGATAGCGTATGCAGATACTTTTCAATATCGGCTTTCATCAACCATTGTTGATGCAAGCCGCGTATACAATGGAAAGAGTTTCAGGGCTGCCCACCCGCTTCTCTCGAACGGACGTGCCGCGATTATTCACCGAAGTCAGGACACACCAAAGTCGGAACGCGCTTCCTGAGGTCACCGCCCTATTGAAAATTCCATCAAGATACGTAACTTGGGACACTGACTGCCAGTCGGCAGCCTTGGTGGAACGTGATAGACCATCAGACGTCATCTGATGGTCCATCAGATGACGTCTGACTGCCACTGCCCAAGGGAATTTCATCAACAAGGGCAGCATTTATATAAGAGTACAGCTTTACGCACTCATAAATATCGCCAAATGCCTCGATAAAACAAAATGTTCGAGAAAAAAAAGAAAAAAAAGCAGACCACCGCGGATCGAACCCGCGACCACTTGCGTACAAATCGGACACCTTAACGCCATCGCTTTGGAAGCCCGATTTGAGCATTCGTTTTATACGAGATGCTTCGGCTGCAAATGCAGTTAAGCCTTCAGCATGTTATGCAAAGCACTCGTACATCACTCGCCGTACTTCAGTTCTACTCACCTGTCATGTAGAGTACTTTCGCGTCGTAGAACGATCCTTTTGTTCGCGCGTCTCCGGCCCAGTAGACCTGGTACACCTTGTCGTCTTCAACTACACCGCTGAAGTCCCTTACATCGTCGGAACTCACAACAGGCTGGGTCTTGTCGAGTAGAAATTCTACTAAAACATAAGACATTGTAGAGCCCGGGCAGGATCGACAGGTTGGAGCAAGCGGGCAAACAAAACCAGTCGAGAGCGATCGTTCTTGAAAGCTCGGTGAAGCCTCTATGGGCGAAGCGAAGTGGCGTGTTCGGCGTTTAGGCGGGCTTCTGATCAAGGTTGTCGGTCGGCTGAGTGTCATATCTCTAACATCAGCGGTTTTATGGGCTCACGTCCCGAAATCGTTTTCTTGTGCATAGATTATTTTTCGTATTCATAGATTTGACGAAATAGTGGTATCCGAACGAACTTTACGTCCTTTGACCGTATGTCTGTCTGCACGTCAAAGCTTTTTGACGTACAGTCAGAGACAATCGATGTACAATCAGAATCGCCACCAAGACATCTTGATGGCATTTCGCGGCGGCCGACTGCCACCAGGAAACCATCAGAAAGCCGACAAGTGGAGTCTGACTGGAGTTTGACTGTCGGTCAGAGTAACTTGTTGGCCAATCAGACATACATGCTTAACCTACAGTCAGGCACAGTCAGCGGTCCACTAGAAAACATTGACTGCCAAACAGGGTTACATGGATGGATTTTTCCTTCGGGCGGTGAGATATGACTGTAAGGAAACAATATTAATTTTGTCGCAAAAACCTGCAAACAAATATTGTATGCAAACATAACGTTCTTGCCATTTTGTACAAATCTCCAAGAAAACTTCATACAAAAGGAGCTTTTTCCGTTTGTTTTTACGCAAAAACATGCTTTTTAAAAGCGAAAAGTGCCAGCGTTCCACCGCCGACGAAATCCGAATGAGAACGACGAAAGTGACGGGGGGGGGGGGGGGGAGGGGGGGGGTAACCTTGCTTTTGAAGAACGCATTACAAATAAGGGGCGCTAGTATCTGTCTCCCTCGAGGAGGGTAATAAGCAAAGCACTTCCTTTCTCACCAGATTAAGGGTGTAAAAGTTGGTTGTTCCTTTTAACAAGCTTTTTTCTTTTTTCTTTTTTTAAGAGTAGAGACGTTTGGTGTTTTCCGTTCGTGACGAATTCTCATCGTCTCATTATAGCTTCGCAGCCAATCAGACTGCGGCATTGGTCGATTAAAATGCCCCTGAACCAACCGCGAAACGAGAAGCTCCAACGTCGCCAACCATGCGTTTTATTGTTGCTGTTGTTGTTGTTGTTGTTGTTGTTGTTGTTGTTTTAGCTGACAGCGACGGTATAGTTGAGTACGTTCGCGTTGTCTTCCAAACGGGAGTGGTCAGATCATTAGAGGGGCACCGTTATATCGTGTCTGAGCTCAGCGCTCAAACAATCATGCCTCCACACTCTGGGGGAGAGCTTTAGGCTACAGACTGACAGACTGAGGAAAGCTGGCTATCCAACGACACTACTTTCAGACGCCGCAAGCAAACTGCTGAAGAAAGTAAAGGGTAGCCAGTCTACACAACGGGACGTGGAACGCAAGCGACCTGTAGTTTTATCCCGTACTTACGCAGGATTTCTCACAATTTAAAAAAATGTTGGAAGCCGATATGGAATCCCAGTGGTTTTCTCCGTACCACAAAAAAAATGAGCCAGATAGGCCCCAGAGTTCATGCGAAGGCAGAGGGAATCGCAAGGAACAAGTGTAGTAAGAAGCACGTCAGGCCGTTCGTCCCATGTGTCACGGGAGTAGTCTACACTATTTCCCTCTCGTGCGGCCGCACCTACGTGGGACAAACGGGACGGTGCCTGAATGAGACGCTCCGCGAACACAAGTACACACCCTCGGAGCGACAGTGGGAGGTCACCTATCGGTTTCCTGTAAAGAGTGCCTGTGCGAGCCGCTTTTGAGTGCCACCACCATCTTGGGACGGCACAGGAACAAAGTGACACGCGAGGTGCTGGAGGCCTTCTACACCCAGAGTAGAGGAAAAAAAAGTGTAGGAGCGCAGAATCAGTGGCGTTGTCAGGCAAGGAGCTGTAGAGTGCCTTCATACACACGCGCGCTTTTGCTTGAGTGGTGACATCTCAGCCATTTTTGCGCCCAATCATGTTTTTATGAATTATGAAGCGCGCGCGCAGTCCGGTGTCACTCAGCTGGAGCGCGTAGCTTTGGCTATAGACGCCATTTTACCGCCCATGTCACGCACCGAGTGCGCGAGAGCGTCACGCGCTGGCACACTATGGGCAACAATGGATGTCTTCACCCTGAGACAGACAGACATGTAGGCACCCTAAGGAGCTGGAATCCCTGAAGCTGACAATAAGGGTCCAGCGCGTGCCGTAGGCACCTATCATGGGTGAAAGGTGCGCGTGCGATTGCGTAAAATATTGTTGTTGTTTTTTTGTTTTTTTTCTTTCTCTTTATTTTTCTTTTTTTCGTTGAATAAAGAAGCTTTAGCTGCGAGCCAGCGCTCTGTCCTGTCTGGTTTGTCTTTTCCTTTTTGTATCTTTGCGCAGTTATATTCCATTACGTACAAGGATGACCAACTAGTCCAGCTATCAACCTTATTAGCGGTTACAAACATGATTCTTCTCGGCAGGACAATCGGCTCCTGCTCATTCCATGGCTCATCGTTGTGTCGATGACGACGCTCCTGGACATGGTTCTCTCCTTGTACCTCATCACAGACCTCGTACGTAACACCACTTCTCCTCGCTCCTGTGCGCGCTTTGTACAAAGTTCGTGACCTTATGCGAACTAAAAAAAAAAAAAACTGTACGATTGCGTGCACGAGTACGTTGGAGTTGCTTCTCTGTCGGGCTTCTAATCGTCCGAAAGGTTTATATTTCTGTTTTTACGTGTAGCATCGATCGAAGCTAATTATCCGCTTTATATGTTGAAAACATTGTGTAGCAACGTTAGGATTCGAAACCTCTATGTTCTTGTTTTCCTTTGAAAAAAATAAAATAAAGAAAAGTCAATTCAAACGAGAGTTTGCTCAATGCATTTATGTGGACATGTTGATAAATTTCACGATTTTGCATTGCCGAACGTCTTGCAAATTGAAAGCAGCTGCGTCGCTGCCGTTTAATGTTCAACGAAGGAAGTTTATGGTTTTGTAACTATATGAAAAATCTACTATCGGCAATATTCTCTCTTAATCCTCAGTAAGGTCATCATTTCAGAAAATTCGGATTCGAAGCAAGACGACCGCTAAAATAATAAAAAAAAACATATAAGATGTGCAAATATTGCCTATAATTGTTCGTTGCAACGCAAGTTCACGTTACAAAAATGCTTAGCTTCTCGCGAAACTCCTAAAAAACGAAAAATACGCCTCCGATGAGTATTAGGATGAAATAAGGCTCCAGCGGAAACATTATCCGCTAGATTTGGCTGTAAAAGAATGCATGTTCCGTCAGTGACGCTATGTCTTTCTGTGCCGCTGCGTCTCGTTTCAAAGTCACCCCCGACAAAAAAAAAAAAAAAAAAATATTTGTTAGGGAAATTTAAACTAAACGAAAGGATCAAAATACGGAATCGTTTCTAGGACCTATATTCTAATTTAATGTCTTCTAACAGAATGGAACATGCGAAAGCTTCACGCTAGATCGATCTGTAATAAATACCATTAATTCCTTATCATACAAATATTTCCCGATATGCTTTAGTGGGAACTAGCTTTCTTAGAAATCTGCATTTTTCACTCTCCCTCCCTCCCTCTCTCCCGCCCCTCCCATTTCCTCCCCTCCCTCCCTCCCTCCACGCGCCCAAGCGTTCTTTGTTGTCTGGAATGATATAACTTTTTCACGGGCAGAAGCGAAATTATGCAGAAAGACAGATTTATTTCTGCATTCACAAAACAAAATCCTAAATACAGTAATAAATAAACATCCTTTTTTTTATGGGATAGACGTTTATATTTGTTCCCTACATCGCGAGGCCTGAAGGAATCTAATTAAGTTAGTGGAGCCCTCTAACTTGTTAAGAACACGTCTCTGCAGACGAAATTGAGACCCACAAAGGACTTCCCCTGCTGCGACGTTTTCTTATCCCAAAATACCGGGTCTTATTCGTAAAGATTATTCTTTTGATGCCCGGTAAGTTATCTGTGTGTGTGTTTTTTGTCGTACACAATGAGAAAAATATTACCCAAGATATTTTGGCATATATATTATTAACTAGATCGTTTTTGTTTTTTTGTTTTTTTTAAGCTAAACGGTCATGATTGAACCCAGATCCTACAAAACCTGAGAACCCATGCGCAATAGGAGAGAAAAATAAATTCTAAAGACACGTCGACAGCGCCCGTAAAAAGAAAAATATAATAATAAAACTGGGTTTGCAATATAGACGAGACACTGGAGCGGTGATGTCAGCTCACTGACTGGCGGCTCCTTATACGACGTATATATATAGACCAACTCAACTCTCCGACATCACACCACTGCGGCGCCGCTGCGGTCGATACTATGTACGCATGCGCGCCGACGCTACCCCTCTCCAGGATTTCGTTTCTGCACATGCGCAGTTCCCGCACCTACACTCTAAGAAATGCCTGCGAGTCTACTTACCCGCAAAACACTCAAAGAGACAATCTCTGCAATCTACGAAATCAGCTCAGCGAATGAGGAGTCGGAACATCTGTTTGGCCCTCAAAATTAAGCCTGCGCTGTGGCATTACGCAATGCAAGCAGGACGCTTTACAGTGCGCAATGCCACAGCGCAGACTTCTAGGCCTAAACGGATGTTCCGCCGCCTCCTTGGCTGAGCTGATTTCCTAGATCGCAATGATTGGCTATTTTGAGTGTTTTGCGGGTAAGTAGACGCGCAGGCATTTCTTAGAGTGCATAGTGTAGGCAAACGCAGGCTTGTTTGTAAACGTTGTGTTGGTGCGTATACGGTGAGGACTTAACAAATCGGGGGAACGACGCCGAAGAACGACAAAGATTACAAACAAGCGAGATCGTTTTTTTTTTTTTTTTTTTTTTTTTCAGACACAAAAGGTTGTATAGTTACTGCCAGCTTAAAAAGTGCAGGTCGTGGCAGGTCCAGAGCACCTCATTATTTCTCCCTTCGCCAATCAGAATGCAGCGTCGGCCGATCGGACTGCCGGAGAACCAATCACCGGAAGCGTAAATAAAATAAGCCCCGCCCTGCGTTTTTTTTTTTTTTTTTTGTTTTTAGAGAGGATTTGTTGTGCGTTTCTCGGGAGTCGAATAACAGTCCGGAATGTGCCAGGACCTCCTCATATGCAGCCTCATTACCGTCAGCCACTGTTCCTCCGCGTTGCGCAAATAGTTCGCTACCGATCGAGGGACTAACGTCGCGCTGACGTCACAAAATCTGCCATGATTAGGGAGTTTTCGTAGACCGCGTTTCCCCTTTCGCTAAGCCCTCCGCAACGAAGCAGCCGCTACTGCGCTTGCGCGCCGATGGCCTTGACTGTAGAGTTCCGGCTAGCGTAACGGGTTGCGGAGAGCGTTGCGGGACAGCGGAAACGATCTACGAAAACTCCCGATTAGGGAGTTTTCGTACATCGTTTTCGCCGTCCCGCAAGGCCCTCCGCAACCCGCTACGGTAACGGGAACTTCACAGTCAAGGCTATCGGCGCGCAGGCGCAGTAGCAACTTCTTCGTTGCGGAACGCTTAGCGGAGGGGGCAGTGCGGTCTACAAAAACTCCAAATTATCTCCTTTCCCGATTGGCCCGCGGAGCGATTCAGTGCAGTAGCTATAGTGGATGTATGATGCTGGCAATTATTTGACGCATTCTTAGTTTGTATCCGTTTAGAGAAGTTTAAGAGAAAACAAAAAAAAAGATGTATGCCCGCGGTGTCCGTCAGATTCTGCCACTTCATTGCTGTTGTTGGTTTTTTTTCCCGCAGCCCGTGAACCCGTTCGTCATCACCATGTACGTCGTCGATTACATTCTGTGCGCAGTAAACGTAAGTACATGCTTTGCACACAAAAAAATAGCATTTTTGAGTGAATCCACAGTGCAGACCATAGCCTCCAATACTCAAAAAGCCTGGCAGTTCGACGGCGGAGACACTGAGTGCCCGTTCGCAGGTTTTGAGCGCGAGGATCTAGTAGCACAGAGCATCAAAGAGCCATTTCTCGGGAAACCTGGACGTCAGCGCACAGCTTTTGCAGCGGCGAAGACCCGAAACACACTTGCTCGCTCGGTAGAAGTGTGTTTCGGCGTCTCGCCGCAGCGGACGCCAGTCACGTGGCTCTCCTCTCTTCCGTTGTCTGCCGCTCCACCTTTTCCATTTCGGCGGCCGCTTCTCGTGGTCATCTGCCAGGCTTTGTCAGTATAGAGGAGGCTATGTGCAGACACCTCGATAGCTGCGGCACCTTATCAGATTCTAATGTATTTCTATCTCGTGTATATTGCACTTTACGTGAAGGAATCGCTGCCATTGTCTGCTCGGGGAGTGACACGCTCATTTCTTTTATCCACACGGAAAGCCTGTGACGGGCGCTGCGCGAGACTCCTAAGCGCGGCTGTCCTCGACACAAGTGGTTTATCGGGCGGCGCGTCGGAGCTGCCGGCATGGCTCTGTGTAGGATGACCACCTTCCTGCTAGCGAAATGCGGGACACGCGGAAAAAGGGGGGAGGGAGAGGGGGAGGGGGGGGGGTAGAGGAAATTTGTGAACACGCACACCACGAACCGAGGGTCTGTTAACACATTTAATATACTGTGCTGCTTATAGAGCTGGAAATTGTGTTGCAGCTATTAGGGTAAAGTAACTTTGACTCCCAGTGACATGTCTTTATGCCAAATATGTTATTTATTGAAAGCATAAAATCCAGCTGCAGAAGAAATCAATGCATCAAATGAAATTAAGAAACAGTAAATCTTTTTCGGGTTTTATTTCCAATCAACGCTTACTTTTATCAACACGGTCCTACACACATTTTTAATGAACAAAAGGTAAGGGCGCAAACGAGCTGGTGGTGGTTAAACATTTCGACAAAAACCCCGAGACTGGGACAAAAAGGGACGGACAAACACAAAGTCTCAAAAAGAGACTTTGTGTTTGCCCGTCCCTTTTTGTCCCAGTCTCGGGGTTTTTGTCGAAATGTTTAACACATTTTTAACATTATGTTGTTTTTTCCACCTTTGTGAATTGCAGGCTTTTTGTCTAGTGTGGTTGTCGTCACTAAAACAAATCTCCACAACAGCCTTTTCAGATTGAGACAACTATATGAAATAATTACAATAGTTTGTAGTTGCCACATTTACTACACACAACTATTGGTGAGCATTTTCTCAATATTTGGCCACCAAGGGAAGAGGCACAACGGCGCATGCGCGTCGGTCTTCCTACAAGAACGACGGTGGCTTCCCGCAATGCTTAGATAGAAAATGGCGTACCACTCCGATTCACATAATTACCAGCGACCTCCGCGCTTCTTCGTGCCCCGTTGTTCGGTAGCACCATGAGTTGCAGAGCGAATTCTACGACGGTTTGAAATGCGGGACATTTTGAAAATTCGGGGATTTCTCGGGCGGGACAGTCCCGCGAGTCGCGGGACGGGTGGTCACCCTAGCTCTGTGATAGCGCGCTCGCTCCACAAACAGCGAGTCTGAGATCGAATCTTGAGAAAAACCTGCGGCGAGTTTGGGCGATTTTCTTTTTTCGAGCATTTGGCGATATCGACGACGGGCGTCCTACACCTACGTCATTTCGCGAGTGGAGGGGAAAAGTTCACAACAGCAGAATCGTCACCCGCGAGACCGCAAGGGTGCCTTCCCCGACACTACATTAGCATCAGAACGAGTGTTCTCTGTCCCTTGAGCGTATAGTCACTCAGTACTGGCTCAGGGAGAATATAGGAGAGCCTGCATTCTCCCAAAGGCTTCCAAAGACCTTACAGTGAGAACACAACACGCATACTGCGCTTTACCTGTGAACCTGGAGTTAAATTTAGTTTATTTCAAACTGTTTCATTTTTTTAACACCTAGTGTGCTCTTTTTTTAGCCTAATCTTATTTTTTTAAGTAAAATGCCACGAAGGACTGTGACGTCACGTAACATAATGACGTTATGATGCCGTCACGACATCTCGTTACGCTAACATCATCGTGACGTCACGGTGACGTCGTTATACTTTGTGACAACGTTACGTCACGTGACGTCAAAGTAATGTGAGCTCATGATGTTGGGTGACGTCACAGACACACGTACCATGTGCCCAGCTCATTCGCAACATATGATCTGCGGTCTTTGTCAGCATAATCGAGGTAGTGTAATTTTTTTTTTTTTTTTTTATGTGATGGGAGATGCATGTGTTGCCCCGGCGTAACGGGTTGGGTCGTAGCAAAGTTCGAACCGTAAAAATCGCGAACTGTGTTCGCTCTGCACTAAACATCAAAATTGCGGCACCCACGAAAAAAAAAAAACGGGTTAAACATGATGAAAAACAGCCTCAGAACAACAGGGACGAAGAACGAGTAAAGACAGGACAACGGCTGACTCGCAAAACGGGAAACTAGGTGCCGATAGGCTGCTTCACACATTTCGAAATTAAAATGAGAATTCTTTATTTTTCTCCATTTGGAGAGGGGAACACGGAGAAAAAGGCAACAGAACGCATTGGTGGCAAATATGGGATAAGGTTAAGTGGCTAAAGAGTAGTTGTTTTACTCTCGTTGACGAACTATTTAACGTAATCAACTTATAAGTCACTTGTTGGTATCGGTCTTATAGCCACCGATACCAATAAGTCTTATCGGCCTTGACCCAGAGGAACTACCGGATGACGTCTTGAAAGTTAATAGTGCGTTTTCACATGACAATAGGCTTCTTTTTTTTTTTTCTTGTTACTCAACCTTAATGCGGAAGCCAAGAACATGAACGCGTCATCTTTGAAAAAGCATAATTTCACCGAGACCAAATTTGGGGCTGTACATTGAAGTCGGGAGTTCTACTTTCATCGGAAAGTACCAGAAAAAAAAATATACCTCGAGAAAAGTACAAGTATATATACTCAGAGAATGTATATTTCAAGTAAAGTACAAATTTTTCCAAACCTTTCAAAAGTAGTACTTTAAGTACAATGTACTTAAAGTAGTTCTCAACACTGATGATACATGATGAGAAGCCAAAATAAAACAACAACAAAGAAAAACTTTTAGGTGGGGGGGGGGGGGGGGGGCACCTTTTGCGCGCTGTCATCTTTGCCTACTGGGCTGCGGAACGCCTTCTGGGCATGCGTGGTTGTTCTCTTCCGTGGAACACCAGGCGCCTACAGCCCAGCGACTTTGCATTTTATGTCTCTGTTGGGGTTTCGTACAGGCGGCGTGACAGTATACACCCGGAGCGCCATGGAGGACTCAATGCCATTCAGCGTCTTGCTTCACGATTGATTTCCAGCGTCCATACTATACCGCAATGACGATAATACTCCCCAGAGAACGGGGACAAAGGATTGCGTTACTTGCATATCACCACGGTATACCAGTCGAAAGGTTCCAGCGTGACAAATCAGCTCCAGGGGACGGCTTACCCCGGGACGTTAAGCGCTCTTTCCCAACTCTGCACCTGGCAGCTGATCCTAATTACGGCAGCAGAGCTCGATTCCGCCCCTTTGCATCCTGGTACGCAGTAAGACTGGGTCTTGTCTGGCAGCGACTACCGTTTAATAGCTCCCTCCGATTCTAATAGACTGATCCCATCAAACGTTCGGCGCATACATGCACCTGTGACACTACCACAACTTTAATCCGCAGGAGGCAGGCGGCAGTGCTCTGCAGCGAGATTGCCGCAGGGGTACAAACACAAAAGTTCTCTCGGTGCATTTCAGTAGCTGCGGCGTAACCAATCTGGCCGGTGAAATCCGTCTTTGTCGTATATTTGTTCAACCGGCTTTGAGTCGTAGCCACGGCCTAGCCTCTCTCGTCTTTTTTTATTCTAGAGACCCGCCCATCGAATATAGTCACACTTCATTTATAGAACACTGTTGTTACAATATCTGTTGATAAACGCAGAGATCATCACATTTTTTGCTAAGCCCGTAGATAATCGGAAAGCCGATCGACACACACGCCCTCTCAAAAAACATCAAGAGAGGTCTGCCAAAACAAAACGCCTTGATCCGGGTAAGTATAAAGGAAAAATTGTGCTCTCACTAATCCTATAAGTACAAACATCAACACGCTTGTGTACAAAGCAGGTAAAGAGGCAAAGCTTCGGTCGTCATGTATAAGCTTAGGTGGCACCAGAGCCGCGCTGACCAGAAGCTAGATGCTAAAAACCACGCAATAACCCGAAATATATCTCTCTCTTTCTATCTCTCTTTCTCTCTTTAGATCTCCTTCTCTCACTGCACCTCCCTCCTGCTGCCTCTCTCTCTCTCTCTTTTTCTCTCTCACCCTCTCTCTGGATATATCTAACTTTCTCGCTGCCTTCCTCTCCCCTTTCTTTCTCAGCCTCTCTTTCTCCACCTCTCTCCGCATCTGCCCCTCTCTCTCTCTTTCGCCAGGTTCTCACTTCTGTAATCTCAACACCTTTTACAAGTGCTGGATCGAAGGGGTAAAGCATCTCGCTGCCAAGGCAACAAGAGTGGGTGGGCGCACTTGTACCGCGCCACGAGATTGCTTCCTTACGAAAACAAGCGTCAAGAAGCACCGCTGAGCGAGCAGCTTCACGCTTAAAATGGAAATCACGTATAGCGTCGGAGACCGCCGCTATGTGGCGACTCGGTCATCACGGGCGCCCGTTATCCTCGTTAAAACCTTCACTCCCTCCGTGGAACCGCCGAACGACTTTTAGCATGCTAATCCAGATGTAGCCAGTATAGAGGACGTTATGGTTAAACAAATGCATGTATCAAAGCCAGGAGCGCGGGCTAGCTCGCGCTTGTATACCTTTGAAGTACAGCGTAATATAGCTAACTGACTATAGCATACAGTGTGTCACAAAAAAATTTTACAA